TGTGGAGAAAGAGGAACACTAATTGACTACTGGGAGGATTGCATAGTCATCCAACTACTATGCAAAGCAGTGTGGAGAACTCTTAAAAAACTACAAATGAACCTACCATTTGACCCAATCATACCACTCCTTGGCATATACCCAAAGAACTCATCCTATTGCAGAGACACTTGTACATCCATGTTTGTTGCTGCTCTTTTCACAATAGCTAAGAGATGGAAGCAGCCTAAGTGTTCTCCAATTCATGAGTGGATAACGAAAATGTGGTTTATTTATACGATGGAGTTTTACTCAGCAATAAGGAAAGATGAAATCATGAATTTGCAGGTAAATGGATGGAACTAGAAACTGTTATACTAAGTGAAGTAACACAGACTTGGACAAAAAATCGACATATGTTCTCCCTCATATGTGTACAGACCCGTGGGGCAGAGCTAGTGAGATTCGTTAGGGTCCTCGGAGGTCAGGAGAAGCCTGAGCCATCTTTTTGTAGTGGAGAACCACTATGAAGGAAAAAGGCATGAGGAAGGAAACCAAACGCCAAAGTCACCAAGATTCCTGGTGAGCTTTTGGAGCTCAGCGCTGTGCCCACATGCACAGAGTGGGTACATGCATTTGGAAATAGTGACTTGTGGGTCTGTGAGATGGTTCAGTTGGTTAAGGGTGCTTGCTGCCAAGTATGACAACCTGAGTTTGATCCCCAGGATTCATAATAAAGAAAAAAAAATCCTGCAAGTTGTCCTCTGACTACTACATGTGCTCTATAGCACACATATATCCACCCCAATAAATAAATAAATAAATGCAATTAAAAAACCCAATAGGAATAATGACTTCTGCAAAGTGGGGCTTAAAAGTTTCTCCTGCCGCCTCTTCTTCTGTCACTCTGGGAACTTCTTTGTGACTTGCTCTTGCCTGGCTCTGGTTTTGCCTTTTCTAGAATGTCAGAGAAGTGAATCATATGGCCTGTGGCCTTTTGAGATGGGCTTTCTCCACCTAGCGCAGCCCTGATGAGCTGCAGCTCTGCGGGGTCACAGATCCCTCTCTGGACATACCATAGTATTTCCCTTTCCTCACTGGTGGGCACTGTGGTGGCAGTGATTGTATTCCAGGGTGGTTATGAACAAGCTGTGACCCCTGCTAGTGTGTAGGCTTTTGTGTGCACCCAGGTTTTGGTTTGTCTGAGTTGAACCCATGGGTGGGACAGTGAAATCACCCAGCAAATGTGTACTTAACTTTCTAAGAAAATGCTCACTGTTTACAGTGGAATCACAGGGGTCGCAGTTTCACTAACAAGGGATAAACCACAGTTGCTCCACAATTCCATGTCTGCTGTTTCTTCATTATTGATTCTCTACCATCAAGCACATAGTAAGTGCTCATCAATTAAGTACCCGGTAGGTGTTCAAAACTACCTGCCAAATGAACAAACGGACAGTTAGAGGATGTTGCACACAGTGCTTATGAAGAGTATTTACTTATCTATTTTTATTATGTGTGTATATATATGTGCATGTGTTCATGTGTGTGTGCGGATACGTGTGTGTATGGATGTATGTGTGTGTGTGTGTGTGTGTGTGTGTGTGTACGTGTGAAGGCCAGAGGACAGCCTTGGGTGTCACCCCAGAATGCTCTCTACCCTCTTTGAGACAGGATGTGTCATTAGCCTGGTGCTCACCAATTAGGTTAGATTGGTTGGCCAGAGAGCCCTAGGGATCCTCCTGCTTCTGCCTTCCCAGCGCTTAGATTGTAAGTGTGCAACACCAGTTTTACATAGGTGCTGGGATTGGATTCCGCCTCAGATTTAACCTGTTTTTTTTTTTTTTTTTTTTTTTTTTTTCTTTTTTTTTTTTTGAGACAGGGTCTCCCTGTAGCCCCAGCTGTCCTGGAACTCACTA